TTTTTTTTTTTAATTGGAACTTCTTTCCACTGGAAATATTTCACAAAAGTCATAAGAACAGGTTTTTACCTGTTTGAAAATATTACTCTTGCACCATAGGATATGAGTAGTCACTACCAAATTCGTTGATAGAAATTACAAAACGGACAGTTCAGCAGTGTGAAAATTTGACAAGCTCATTTGAAACTATGATTCCTAAGTAACTAACTTGATTGCATGACCAAGAACAAATAACTGGCTAAGTGTCTTAAGTTAAATGCTTAGAATGATATCCCAACTTTTGATGAGAACTTTTGTTGAAAAACTAGTTGGCAAATCTGAAGCTAAGAAGAATTCTAATGCCTGATTTGCAGTCAAGAGAATTCTTTATTAATGCCCTGGCCTTCCTCTCCTCCAAATTTTCTTTTAAGCACACACACAAAAAGCAAATTATATGCTCTAGGGAAAGAATCAACTTGTATTACACAAATGGAGATTTTAGCTTGGACTCAGTGGTCTTTACATATGGTTTACCGTGCATTAAAAGAATATGCAAACCCTGAAGGTATCCTTGGTAGTCAACTTGAGTCCTGTAAGTGTCCCTTCACACCCATCCAGACCTCGATCTGGAGCTAATTTCCAACAGGAATGCAATATGACTCCAGCAGGAGCGTGAAAAATGGTTGAAGTCTGGGCCGGGAAAACCAACTACGACAAAGTGCCTTCCGCGCCTGCAGAGCCTAGGTTAAGAGTCACCTTTTCTCCAGCGGACTCCCAAAGAGGCCAACAAATGGGGGAGGGAGGGGGAGGAAGGCGGAGGGCGGGAAGTGGAGTGGATTCACCCCGTAACCTGCCTCTACACGCGCCTACTTTTCGTTGCACCCTCAGCCCTCTAAGAGCCTTCGACTCAAATGTTCCGACTACAAATTATCTGCGTTCCCCTCCCTAAAGGGCTATCAAATTGGGCGGGAGCTCCCGCGAACTCTGACCTGGCGCCTTCGCGAAGGCTTCGGACCTGGGGGGAGGACAGAGCCCGCTTCCTCAACAGAAGCCGCTAAACACCCTCGGTTGCCCTCCTCCTGCAAGACGCTCTTCTGGAACGTACCCCCAAACACTACGCTCCGGGCCCTCCCTCCGCCAGTCACCTCGGGCTTCCCGCCGGCCTCCCCCTAGGGACTTCCTCCTCGGGGCTCCGCTAGGCCCCAGGACCCGGCGGCAAGCGCGGGGCTTGGCCCGCAGGCCCCGCCAGGCGGGCGGCGAGGTACCGCTTCGGCCCATTCCCGACGCCATTTTCCGGCCGCCGCCGCCGCATAGGGGGGACGATCCCGGAGGAGGAGACTGCGCAGGGGCGCACCGGTCTCCGCCGCAGCGCCGTGGGGAGCGTCCGCCGGCACCGGGGATCCTCAGTGTCTCCGAGGCCTCCCTTCGTGGGCTACCCTGTTCCGAGTTTAGACCTCCTCCGGGGTCTTACCGAGAAGCCCCTCCACCTCACCCCAGATCCCCGCGCTTCTACTTACGCGGAAGAATCCCGCGTCCATCTTGCTGCCTCGCTCGGAGATCGCTCCCTATCCCAGGGTGCACCGCGCCGCCGCGACGGAGGGCGGGACCGGCGGAGGGGAGCAGAACGCCGGGACGCAGCGCGTGCCCCTGCACCCGCCTCCTCCAGCCAACACGAAGCCGCGCCTGCTCAGTGCGCCGAGGGCACGCCACGCCTGCGCACGCGCACCAGATGGGGCCCTCTTCTGCCCGGCCGAGGCTTCTTAGCAGCCAATGGGGGAGGCGAGCTCGACGACTTTAGCCAATGGGAGAAGGAGGGAGAGTGCTTGCATCGCCGGGCCTCGCGAATCCTTTTGTGGCGCGTGACCCAGCCTTGTTCGCGTAATGTGACTTGACCCATTCTTCGACCCGTAGTGGGGACGGAGGCCTCCCGCCCTTAGGGCTCCATGAAGCGTTTGAAGAGAAAGGCTGTTATCTCAGAGTGACGCTGGTGAGGCGGCCCGTGCGCAAGCGAGAAGCTTGCGGCCTCCCCTGTCATTATGAAAGTGACTTGTGCGGGTTTTACGACTTCACCAGTTCGCTGTAAAATGGTCGCGCGGTGTACACTTGGCATCTGCACTCCAGCCCCGTCTCTGTTGGGCCTTGGGAGGAGCCGGGACCGTCCATTAGTTGAGTTTCGGTTTCTGCCGCCGGGTATCCACGCGGGAGGGCAGGCAGCCGCGGCGGCTCCCTGCCGCCCGCCGGGCGCCCGCAGCCTCCCTGTCCTCCCTGTGCTGACGACATCTGCCCTCAGCCCTGAGTGCAGACGCTGCGGGCACCGCCCGGTCGGCCTGTCCATGAGCTCCGATAGACATCGCAAGCCCGCAGCCCAGGCCACGCTCCCGCCCGCCTCGGGTCCGGTGGCAGGGTCTTTGCTTCTGTCACCTTGGCCTTGGGGTCATTCTCGACTCCTCCTCCTTCCCTTTGCCTCCCACTTCCAAACCGCCCCACTTCGCTCTTGGAGGCTCAGGGTCCCGTCTTTGGCCTGCGCATCTGCACAGGCCTCTAACGGGTCCCCCCTCAGCGGGAGGCTGCCTGTCCCCACAGCGGTCCTCGCCTTGGGGTCAGGGCAGGGATCCTGGTGTGGGACCCAGGGCTGCTCTACCGCTAAACCACGTCCCCAACCCTTTGGTTCTTTTATTTTGAGACTGGGTCTTGCCCCGTTGCACAGGCTGGCCTTGAACTTGTGATCCTCCTGTCCCAGCCTCCCAGTGTGCTGGGATTACAGGTGCTGTCCCGCCTTCGAAACTTTATTGTCTGTTCCCTGCACTGGAATGTAAGCTTCTAGTCGGGGCCTCTTCTGTTTTTCACTCATGTGGCCCCTCCACCCCTCACACACACCAGAACCAAACCAGTGGCACATAGTAAAAGCTCAATAAAACTGTTGAGTGAAAGCTTCGGAAGTTAGTGGCCTCCGCAGAACATGACCAGATGGAACTATGAAATCGTAATTCTCCATATCTCACTGTTCTCCGTGTTCTGATTAGCCATTCTGTTTTGACCTTTTACTGTTCCTGCCCTGCAGCTGCCAGTCCTGTTAATATTGCTTTCCTTTAGCCCCCCCCCCCCCCCCCCCCCCGTGGTACCAGGAATGGAACCCAGTGCCCTTGTCTTAGTGAAGCCACATCCCCAGCCCTTTTTATCTTAGAGACAGTGTCTCTCTAAATTGCCTAGGGCCTCATTGAATTGCTGAGGCTGGCTTAAAATTTGACTCTTCCTGCCTCAGCCTCCTGAGTCATTGGGGTTACAGGTGTGCACCAAGCTGCCTGGCTCTTTTAGATTTTGTCATTGAACCCTTTCTTTTCCCTGACAAAAGTTGATATGCACCTCTACTTTTGGTTTCATTTCTCCTTTATATTCTAGATCTATGTATATCAGGCACAGGTCTGTCCCAGACCAATATTTTCAACTTCCTGCTGATATCCCCACTTGGATGTCTTATAGGCATGTCAGACTCAACGTGTGTCACACTGAATTCGTTTCCATCCACTTGCCCTCAGCATTTTTGCTTGTTCTTAATGAATGAGGCCACCTTTTTCTCCCTGTCACTGTTCTCTTCACCTTCCACAACCACTAAATCTTGTCTTTTTTTTCTCTTTTAAAAAAATTATTTTTTTTAGTTATGGATGAAAACAACACGTTTATTTTATTTACTTTTTTAATGTGGTTCTGAGGCTTGAACCCAGTGCCACACATGTGCTAGGCAAGCTCTACCACTGAGCTACAACCCCAGCCCTTTTTATGAATGCTTTTTTTGTTTTGGTTTGGTTTTTGGTACTGGGGATTTAACCCAAAAACACTTTATTATTGGTTCTTTTTATTTGAACTCCAGCCCTGTTACTTTTTATTTTGAAACAGGGTCTTGCTAAATTGCTTAGGGCCTGCCAGAATTGCTGAGGTTGGCTTCAAACTTGCAATCCTTCTAAGCCTCCCAAATTGCTAGGATCACAGGCATCACCATGCCTGATTCCTAATACTCAATAGCTGGTGAATCTGGCAATTTCATGGTAGTTCATGTGCCTCTTTCCTTTTGGCCTTTTGTATCTTTGCCATATCAGTTGATGCCTTGCTTTATATCCCCAGTGCTTTTCTAAGATGATTATATTTTTATTTATTTATAATAAATCCTTGAACCCAGGGGTGCTTAACCACTGAGCCACATCTACAGCCTTATTTTTTAAAATTTGAGGCAGGTCACAGAAGAAGAGATGTCTCCAGAGAAGGGTCCAAGGAACTCCCAGAGGAGAGGGACCAGTGGGGTTCTTGGCATACATGAAGGAAATGAATGTCAGCAAGAGCCAGACAGAGACACCGAGGTCTCTGTCTGGAAGATACACATGCAAGGGAGAAAGTGGGCTGCCTTTTGACTTGGGCTGAGGGTCCAATATTTATAGAAGGGCTGTAACAGGGGCTGGACTAGAGGTAGATTCAGGATAGAGCTGCAATTTCCTGTCAATTTTCATGCCCCTGCATATTTCCCTCATTTTATAAGGGCCTGGGCCAAGGCTTGGAACTGTTTTCTGCATCTCAATGGCTTGATTCTGCATTTCAAAGGCTTGAGGGTATTTCCCTTAAGATTCTGTATTCCTCTCTGCTTTTCCTATCTCAATCTTACTAAATTTTTTGTTGAGGCTGGTTTTGAACTTGCAATCCTGCCACCTCAGCCTTTCCAATCACTGGGATTACAGGGATACATTACCACACCCAGCCTAAAAGATTAGGTTGATCCTGTCACTTTCCAATTTAAAACCCTCCAGTGGCTCCCCTAGTCCTCTAGGTAAAGCCCAAACTAGTTGCTGCAACCTGGAAAGCATTTTCTGATTTCTCCCTTCTCCAGATTTACTGCACAAGCCAATCATCTCTCTCTCCATCCCTCACTTCTGAGCTGCATACATACTGAACTGTAGACACTCGTCTAATTGTGAACAGGTTAGGTTTAGAATGGCAGTTCTTAGTCTGTGTGTCGATAAGCCTACAGTGACTAAAAGCAGTTCAACTCTCACCTCTTCAGACAAGCCTTTGCCTTTTCCTTTTTTTTTTTTTGGTGGGACTGGGAATTGAACCAGGGGTGCTCCACCACTGAGCTACAGCTGTAACCCTTTTTAAAAATATTGACTTTGAGCTGGGAGCTGGTGTGGTGACACGCCTGTAATCCCAGTGGTTTGGGAGGCTGAGACAGAAGTTCAAAGCCAGCTTCAGCAACTTAGGGAGGCCCTAAGCAATTTAGCAAACCCCTGTCTCAAACTAAAAATTAAAAAGGGCTGGGGATGTGGCTCAGTTGTTAAGCACCCCTAAGTTCAATCCCTGTACCCCTGTCCCCCACAATTTTTTTTTTTAATTTTGATTTTGAGGCAGGGTCTCTCTAAGTTGCCCAGGCTGGCCTCAAATTTGTGATCCTCCTGCCTCAGCCTCCCCAGTCACTAGGGTTTCAGGTGTGCATCACTGCACCCAACAGTCAAGCCTTTTCTGACCAGCCTTCCAACAGTAGCAGATACCTTCAGTTCCCTTGCTCTATCCTTCCCTGCTTTACTTTTCTCCATAGAACTTTACATTATTTGACATCATTTATTTTGGCTATATATTTATTATCCTCTCTCTGTTGTTTTTTTTTTTTTTTTAATCTCTAGGAGGGCATGGATCTTGCCCAACCTTGGAGCTTAATAAATGTTTTTTTAAATGAATGTGTGAATCAGGGCCTAAGGTTCCGTTCTCAAAGGCTTTTCTACTCATAAGCAAGTTTGTATTCTTTGAATTGTTAACAACCTCTGTACAAGTAGGAGTCTACACTGGAAAATCTGCCTCCTAATGATCCCTGTGGGTTTAGTGGAGAATTACTTGACATTGAAGATTTTCATAGACACCAACTCCTGCTCACTTTGATGTTATAAAAATCAAAATAGGTCTTAAAGCCAAAAAGCCATCCTTGGTCAAACCACCAGTGGCTGTTTTGCTAGGTCTTGTCAAACTCTGAACTTCAAAAAACTCTAGGCATCCAACCTTGGTGCTGAGTCTTAGGCATAGGTAGCTTTTCCATCTCCCAGGTGGCTTTTCCTCATTGCTTGCAGGTTGCTCTTGATGGTAGACATGTTCCTTCATGTTGGCAACAGGTCCACCTTGGCCCCTGGAGCCCTACCTCCACTAGTTTGTTCTGCATGCCAGTGTGGCCAGCTCACAAGGCCATGGCGAACTTGCGGTTTTTCTGTTCCTGCTTATCCGTCTGAGACATATGTATCCCACGGGAATGCCTTGACCTTTTCTGGTCTGATGGACTTATTGTTAAGGGAGGTTTCGGTACCTGACAATAATAGATGTTGAAACTAAATTTCTCCCCCCTCCCTCCTGCTTTTGGGTAGTTTTCCACTTCTGCTGCTTGGGGTATAAAAAAAGGTGTGTTAGCAATAAAGATTATTATTGACTCCTGGATGAAGAACCTTGGTGTCCTGTGTGTCTTTTAACCTCGCCGTCCCTCGCCGGACTCGGCTCCCTTGGCCGGACGCGGCAATTGGAGGTTCTCACCGAGATCCGGAAAGCAGGGGTAAGCGGACGGGGCTCACCTTCTAAGAAAGAAGGGGGAGGATTGGTTTAAAGATATTTTAAAGAGACAGGGTACGTACCATGGGTA